ACACTCTCTTTCAATTAATTACATTACCATTATTTTAATTTTGCTCGGCCTGTGCTGGGCTGTCCGATTCTGGACCTGTGTTCTTGAATGGTCCTACTAGGCTGACCAGCCAGCCAATGACCCAAGTTGGCTGTTTCTTATCTTTTTCAATAAAGCTCCGAGTGCAGGGAAATTTTATCATAACTGATAGACGCTGACTTGGCCGAACTTCACAGACCTACTTTTTTTCGTCTTCTATTGGTGTTACGTTGTCAAAATGTTTTGTTAAAAAATCTGTACCTATAGCATGATTGAATCATGTACCACGAGCACATGAAAATTAAAGCCAACAACAGTTTGAAGCTATAATCCTTTTGTTGGGTATGTATGCACTTGATGTGCAGATGAGGTATTTTGATTTGTATGAAATGGAGAAATTGGGAAGATTTGAAGGAAGATAAGAGCATGTTCAGCCTCCAAACTGCCTGTTCAACCAGAGCATGCAAAAGTTCTAGTATTTATTTATTACAATAGAATCGATCTCAATTTGAACCAGTTTTTAAAGATATTGATAGATAGTACTGGACAATTATGTAATTTTACCTTTTATTTGAAGGGCTGTGCAGCTCTGTCTAGCCAAACTTTCAAGTTTGGTAGTTCGTGTTTGATAATAGATGGGACTTGTGAAACAAACCCTAAAGAAACAAGTACCAAAACTTATTAAGGTTTAGAGGAAGGATTAAAGAATTGTTATAGATTTTGTGATAATTGAATACAAAATTTTTCAAAGTAAATTATAAATATAATCAAGTCTAATACTTATAGAGCTGCTACGGGGATTTTATTGAAGATATATATTATGCAAGCTCCGATAATTGAATTTCATCTAGTTGACCCTAGACCATTTGATGTAATTATGAATCTTGTTTTCTCTAATGAAAGCAAAAATTACAATATAAATTATAGATAATATATATTTGTAATACTTTTTGCGGACTTACCATGGCATAGATTGCTTTATTTTCGTTCCAGATTCGATAATTAGGTACTAGCATAATAATTAACCATTTTGCCCCCATAATTTTCTCACTAATTTAAGTATCATTTTCTTTATCAATTCTGTAAACTAATCATAGATGTCAAAGTTTAGCTGATGTTAAATACTGAGCACAGATATATAATCATTCAACAATACACACTTAAACAGTCACTTGATCCAAAAATTTCTGGAAACTTTTCGGATGAAAAAAGGGAATTGAATCAGCAACCTGGCGAGGCAGAAATCTTGCCTGATCATCTGGATTGTTTTGAAAATGCAGTTTCATGCTTTTTCCTTTGTAAAGATCCTTTTCCAAGAAGAAAATGGCTACATTTGTATTATCATGGATTTGATTGTCTTTAGCCGCATAACGGTAAATGAAGGGACTGGTTTGCCAGATTTGGTACGTGTTCCGATTACTGCGCCGCCTTTGCCGATGCCAACTCTGGTTCGTTTTCCGGGTTTGCTGGCGTTGACGTCGACGGTGGTTCCGCTTGGCTTTCCCTGGCCTGCTTCGACATTGACGTCATCCTTGCTTACTCCAACAGCAGTGCTTCTGCCTTCCATCATGCATATAAGAGGAAGTAAAAATAAGTAATTTTTGGTTGGTTAATGTAAAAAATTTAAAATTTAAATTTGCTATCAAAGATCCCTAACAACTTTAGGCCTGGGAGAGTTAGGAGCACAGATCTCCAGTAATCTACTTGTGAAGGTAAAGCTGCATGGCTTGCCACTAATACCATCTAAAACAAATGCAGAAAACATCCACTTTAACCTCTTCATTGAACACATAATATACACACAAAAAATAAAAAGAAACGCAATTTTTCTCGAGGGTCGAGGAATTACATAGCACCTATTTGTTTCCAATTTTCTGTGCAAAAGTAGACAAAATGTTACCGTTGCATTTGAAAAGTGATCATTGCCATTGAAAATATATGAGGAGCAAGTCAAATGTTGCGGTTGGGTGAGGTCCACTAACGGTTGGATTTTTTCTACAAATGAAGAATTAATGAGAAACAAACAGGGGCTTATACTCACAAAAGAAGTGTAAAAATCTGGTTAAACTTGAATTCCATTGCAATATTAGAAAAAAAAAATGCTTTTAAATTATAAGTGAAGAAAGAGACGTAAATTGCAGCCTTATTTACAAGAAGAAAAATATTCTAGAATGAATTGATTCATGAATGTATAATTAAAGCAGCCACAACTTATACTGGTGGCAAGTGTCATGGCAAGTTTATTACCAACTGCATTTGGCTGATACAAATTTAGTGCTTTTTTGGTAGTTATTTTTTGCTAAACTGTTCTCAAATTTTATTTTTAATTACACGTGTTATTGCATCGACAACTTCTAATCACATTTTAACTACACGTTTCATGACTCTCAATGCCCTATTAATCCTAATGTACCTTGTGCGGTTACATTTGTTAAGACAAACAAGAAACCACTTGACCTTTGTTGGGTCCATCGAATTTGTATACAGTAGATTTATATGATGAAATAAGGATTTAGCTCATAGCAATATTGATTTAGTCCCTGTTTGGTAGAATTTAAAATTCATATTTTAATCAAAGTCAAATTCAATAATCAATCACATATTTTATAGGATCCACAACTTTTCAATCATATATTTAATCAATTTTTATCAAAATTTATTAAAAGCTAACAATCCTCATCAAACATGGACTAAGTATGCTCTGTATTTGCCATTATAAAGGATCATTTGCGTCTCATTCTGCTGATCAATAGATCCAATATGGGTGAACTATAATTGTAAAAATTCAATATTTATTTTATACCAATATCAAACTTCTTGTATGTGGGCTAGGAATCCTTCGATTATGGATAGTTTTTAATTATGTAATCATATTTGACTTGCCATATTAAATGAAATGAAGCACCCATGCAAATTTGGAAACAACGTTGGACTACCAATCATCCTAATTTATTAGGGTTTAGAGGGCAGTTGAGAGTGTTGATATGAATATTAATTGTGACAATACATCATTCTTCTCATCCCATGTCGTTGTCTAATTCTTTCTGATGTAACAAATCAAGGAGTTCGAAATTTTAATGGTTCGAATTGTGATTTTCTTGAAAAATGTGTGATTAAAAAAGAAGAAAATGTTTTTAGATTTGTGTAATACTATTTTATTGAAGAATGTTTGATTAAAAATGAGAGAGAGAAAATGAATTATAATTTTAACGAGGGTCAACGAGTGGTTAAAACAATCGGAAACAATTGTACCACTCAATCATGACATCTGACTGAAGATGGAATGACATAGAGGGGTAGTCACTTCATTAGCCAGCCAACAAGGCAAATGTCCCATGTTTCTCTACAATTGTAACTCAACCCTTTTAAAAACTTAGGGGCCGTTTTCTTTGACGTTTTCGAATCGTTTTCTGTTTTCGATTTTTCAAAACAGTGAAAATACGTTCACTTTTCTATTTTCGAAAACACATTTTTGAAAACGAAATTTTTTTTGTACACAAAACAAGAAAAACGTTGTTTTGGACGTTTTCAAGCCAATCCCACGAAAACAACTAAAACACGGGAAACAGCTAAAAAAGGCTATTATTCCTTCTTTAGCCAAAATAATGGAGCAGTCACTTTCCAGCCCTCTAAACTCCGGTCATCCTCCTCCACCACCACCGGATTTGCATACCATTGTGAAGCCATCGATCCCTTCTTCAATAACCACACAAACCACTACCCAAACATATACCAAAATCAATCAAAAATCATCTTCCAAAATTGAACTGACCATAACTGCTTCTGCCGAAATCTCCAGAAATCGCCACCACCACCCTTCAAAATCGTCACCAAAAATACCCCTACTGCAGCCAAAGCCAAAACCAAAATCGCCACCAGAAAAAATCACCATCGCCCAGCCAAAATGGCGAACCAACCAAAATCGCACTGGAATCGCGACCCAACTACAGCCACCACCAAGTCGCGACGCAACCATCGCCACAACCCAGCCAACCACTGCATCAAAGAAAGAAAAAAATAAAGATGAAGGAGATCGCAGAGAGCGTCTAAACCCAAACCACCACCGCCCGCTCGCAGGGAGATCGCCGTTCACATGGATCGCCATTCGCAGGAAGAGAGAGAGAGAGAGAGAGGCGACGACCCAAAATGAAATAGAAACGGAGAGAGAGAACACGTTTTGGTTTTGTTTATTTTTGAAAACAATTTTTCAAAATGTCAAAAAGAACACATTTTCAACAATCTTAAAATGGACACTCAAAACACAAAATACAAAGTGAATTCAAAACTCAAAATACAAAACTGAAATACAAAGAGAACGGCCCCTTAGCCATCCTTTTCAACCGTTGTGCAGTTTCTTCTCTTCTTTTTAAGCCCTAAGTTAGGTTTACATAACATAATTATTATCGCCATGCGAAGTTAGTACGCTAATTGACCTCCTCAATGAGATCGCCGTGGAAGCTAGCAAGGACAAAACTCGAACCAAAATTTTATTCAGGACAATTTAGTAATTTTCCACTTGAAATTTCAATTTTACTCTAATTTGTCTTATAAATAGGAAATTGTCATTAAAAATTCGAATTACCATAAAAAAGAGAGAGATTAGAGAAGATAAGGTGTGGAATTTTCCTTTGTAAACCTTTTTTTAACCATAATGAAATACTACAACAACAAAAAGGGATACAATTTCATATTAAAGCGAACTTCTATAAATCTTTTGTTTTCTTGTGTATATATTCTTTCTGTGATTTTGTTGCTCAACATTTTATGATAATCTGCACATTTTGTCACAGGCAAGAGGCTAAGAGCTAATCAAGTAACACAAGCACTTGAAAATTACAGCCAACAGCAGTTTGCAGCTATAGTAATTCCTCTAAAATTTATAGATTTGAACTCCATCCGGGGAGGACATTTTGCTAGTTAATCTCAAAAAATAAGTGTGATAGAACACATTTGCAGTAAATGGAAAAGGGGATCCGGATCACTTAATGCTTGAGCCAGTAGTTTCGTAACTGAGACATATGTAACAGTATCTCATCTCGACCCTGATTTGTGACACTGCTGGTCATAATCCAAGGTGGTGCTGTCTGGAAGAAGTCGCGTATCAACTCTTGAAAGTCTTGCACGTTTTCTTCAGGTCTTTTTCCTCCATTCTTCTTCTTCTTCCGCTTATCACACTTGGTGAAAATTAAAGTCATAGGAATCTAAACCAGAGGGGAGAAAAACTACATCAGTAACAGAGGAAGTAAAGAGCTTTCAATTCCGCAGAAAAAAGAGGAAGTAAAGAGCTTTCAAGTCCGCGGAAAAAAAAGGGTATTAGAATTTAGAACGATGCATTATCAAATATAAAAGGAAAGTCTCTTGGAGAACATTACATTGGCAATGGATATTTCTCCTAAAATTAAAAAAGAGAGAAATAAATTGACATGGTTTATAGCACATTTGGCTAATCTCAAATGGTTCATGTACAAAACAATAAGAAAGTTTCGATCTAAGTTAAAATAAGTAAATTATTTATTTTGAAAGTAAGGCAAGAGTTACTATCAATTAATTAACTTGGAATTGGAAAGCTATTAAAAAGTAATTTTGTTTTTGATTAGCCAAACACGCTAACACCATCTTAAATGCTGTTTATGAATGAACAATAGGCAGATATTCAGGAGATATCCGATCTTAATTGCTTCAGATTATTTCCTCCAAGCCTTGACCAATAAGACAACGTGATTAAAGAAACATTACATAGCATTTCTAAGAAGCAAAAGAAAAAGAAAAAAAAATAACGAATTAATCACCTGGTTTTGGCCCAGCCAACTTGCATACTCAAGATCAATCTTTTTTACAGGAATGCTAGCATCAATTAGAAGGAATACAGAGACAAGAGTAGGCCGGTTTAAGAAATAGTCTTTCGTGAATTTGTCCCAGTCTGTCCGAAGCTCGTGTGGTGCAGCTGCATACCTATTCAATTCCCGGAAAAGAATTTATGTTAATATGATTTGGAAGCACACAAGGTAGTCAAATTACATAAAAGATGAATTTTCGGAAAGTTTCTACAATCAAAATAATAATTTATAATAGAAATTTCATAAAATTATTGGTGCAAAGATGAATAGAAGAAAAAAGGTCTTTCGGCATTAGGCAGCAAAAAAATAAATTAAACTTATATCAGACGTGAACAATAAAAGAGATAATTTACCACCAAGAAGTAAAATTGTTTACTCCTGACTAATAAAAATAACCATTCCCTTCAGATAGACTCCGGCAAAGCCAAATCATCAGTCAATTCACAAAGAACACGAAATATACATGCTTTTGAAAGTTGATTTCATTAAGGACGATTGTCAATATAATGTAAATAACTCAAATTATGCAGATAGTGTCTAGTTTTCTTTATTTAATGAAAGAGTGTGCATCCGGTTGAACTCAAACAAAATCGACTGCTAATGTTTAGAGTCAAGTCAATACCCATAGCCAGGCAAATCCACAAGGTACCAGCTATCATTGATGCGAAAATGGTTGATGCATTGTGTCTTTCCTGACAACAGAAACACCAAAAAACTTTATTTTCATAAATGAATTCATTTGCATGGAGAACAATGAATCAACCAAAAAACTTTATTTCCTATGTGCTTGAGATAATTTTCACAGTTTATATTTAAGTACTTCAAAAGAGTTCACATGAATTAATTTAAGTAAAGAAAACTTCATATATTTACTTAAAAGAATAAATATAGCATTTGAATTGTACTAAGGGCCTATTTTTGAGAATAAATTTTGTGAAAAAGTGATTTTTAGAGAATGAGTGGTTTGAAGTAGGAAAAAGTTAGGAGTCCAAGTGCAAAATTATTTTATTGAAAAATGTGTGATTGAAAATAAGTTCAAGCGAAAATAAGTTTTAAAGAATCTGTACCAAATACCAAATAAGGGCTAAATGTAAATAAACAAAGTTACATGTGGATATTACAAGGTAGTGAAATTTCAGTCATGAGGCATAATTTTTTGGTTTTATATATATTCAACTCAATTTATCAGCACAGTCTACATGCACTCTATAACCATTCTTACTAATCCATTTATAAATCATAACTTGAAAAATCACCACTGTGAACCGCTTAATGTTCTTCTCAATCACAGATATACCGACTCCTTCCATCCTAAATGTTAACAATAATGCTACCACCATTCTTTTTTTTTTGAACTTTTTGTAGTTGCTCAATATATATTTCTTAAAGCACAATGAACGAACTGAAAAAAAAAAAAACTTCTGCCCCCAACTTCCATTGCCCACCCCCCAAAAATGAAATAAAACTCTTCTTTTTCTTTTATTCTTTTTTCAAATGAAGTAGTAGACAGTAACTTAAGCTAGAAGACAAGCTTATAAAACAAATCCACGAGAATGAATAGGTCTACGGCTCTGAGGCAATGTTCAGGAAATACATTTATCAGTAAATTATATCACCATATTAACATCTTGGAAGATAGCACACTAAATCCCACCTCTCTGTCCATTTCTTGCATCATGAACATAGCTCATTAGCTCATGTTAAGTCCAAGGAATCAATAAAAGCACAAGTAATATCTACAATTGAAGCTTCATCTTGGTATCGCCCCAACTCCCACCAAAAAAAAGGAAAAGAGAGTTCCTTCCTAATTATTTAATCAAATTCAACCTCAAATCCATTGAAAAATTCCATCCTTTCGTGCCCCCAGGGCATATCTCCCAGTGGCAAAGGGGAGGGCGGTTAGGGCTCAGCGCGGTAGTGTGCAGAGTTCGATTCCCCGCAAGGTGGAATTGACTTTGTTGCAAGCGGGAGTTACCATAGGGTTAATAGCCCAAGGCCTATCCATAAGCTTTCCACCCTAGCTCCTGGGAGGCACATCCTGCGATTTACCTCCTCCACAATGGCCCAGGGCAGGGTCGGTGGGGGGCCCTCAAAGTTGGGGTTCAACCTTTAAAAATTCCATCCTTTCGCACTCAAAGAAATACAAAACCATTCACAATCTCTGCAAAATACCCGAACAACTAATTCTCCAAACATATAGAACTAATATCAACTAAAACCACAGTGCATACTCATGTTAGATACATACACATGCCACTACATATGTGATATGCATATAAAGTATATACCAGGCTTCTTGGAGGTGAGCGCGAGGCGTTTGCGCCTGACAAGGGAGTTAAGCAGGGATGATTTCCCCACATTGGACCGTCCCACAAGAGCGAATTCCGGGAGCCCATTCGAGGGGCAGTCCTCAGTTGTCACACTGCTCTTCACAAACTCCGCATTCACTACTTCAGCACCACCTCCAGCATACTTGCTCAGCACAATATTCGAGCCCTTCAAGATTCTTGCACTCAAGATCCCATTCTCCGGCGCTGAAACCTCCGTTTCCGGCGGCACAAACAGCTTTTCAAGAGACAATTGTATGTTCTCTTGATGTGGTGATTGACTGGTACTTGTTGAGAAGTGAGAGAGGGATGCGGGTCCGGTTTCGGATTTGGGTATGGATACCGGGTTTGGAGTGGAAAACAGCGTAGAGGTGATTAGAAAAAGTCTTTTGGATTTGCGGGTTGTGAGCGGTGAAATAGGTATGTGCAAAAAATGAAGTCTTGGAAGTTGATGGATTATAAACATTTCTCAGAATTTTTCTTCTGCGTGTGTGTGTAAAGTTGTAGCCTCCTCTGTGAGGAACGATGGTGCTGTGGAAATAGGGGGATAGATATTTGGAGAAGAAATAACAATGAGACTCCAAAACTATTATCTTGTATTAGTTATTACCTTTTAAATATGAAAATTTATAATACTAATCCTCTGTTGCAACCTCACATTTTTTTGTACGAGTTAAGAGTCAACGATTGTATAATCTGGCATGCTTTATAATCAAAGTTATGTCTTTGCCTTGCATTAAGAGTATGTATGCCAAATTTCGTTCATGCTGTATGAAAAGAATGAATTATATTAAACTATTCGTTTTTTTTTTTAGTTTAAAATTATTCCTATTATATCTTCTATTAGAATTGGAAAAGCCTAAATATGCATTACGTTGTTATTCAAATACAGCGATCCCCTATGTTTATTTTTTATTTTATTTATCTACGCTCGCGTTCTTTTGATTTTGGTATAGTGAAATTGAATCTTGACCATTTTTAATCAAATTTGATTGAGTTATTATTAATTACTATATTGACGACTTGTTACCTTCTTTGACTTGTTTAGGATAGTTCTCTTATGACAAAGGATTTACATAATTTTGAGTAAAAATAAGACTTTTTAAAATGAACAAGACAGAAAAAAAAATGAAAGAAACGACTTTTAAAATTAAAAAAAAAAAAAAAAAGAAGGTTACAAGTAAGGTGATTTTACACTGTACATGGTCATTTTGAAAAGTTGGGGGTGGAATGTAATATTTTACAAAAAAGAGGGCCATACAGTGTAATTAATCAGGTCCCCACCTCCAATTTATTATACGAAGAAGAAGAAAAGAAAAGCCAGAGTTGTGTTTCAGCATGAATTGAAAGTCCAGTCGAAGAGACCCACTTTCTATTTACTGAATTCTACTCCAAATCAATCAATTGATTTGTATTCGATCGAGCAGAAATGGCGTCTCCAGCTAAATCTCAGAAATCCTCTTCACCCTCTCAACCCTCCGGGTATTCGCCCGAGCCCTCTCTCCATTGTATTTTATATATTTACTTTTTTTTTAAAATATACTTTAGATCGATAATTCGAAGAGTAATTGGATTGTACATTGAGTGCCAAACTGTACATGTATAACTTTGGGTAAAGGCGTGAGATTATGAAAATGGAAGTCTAATTTTACTAGATTGACCTCTGAAATTCAAGCGTGTAAAGTGATGAAACACGATGAATCGAGATAATGCATTGCTGAGTTCACTTCTTATCTCTCTGTCCATAGGTCGCTTCCACACCCCCAATTCAGTGACGGAAAAGAAAGAAAGGATTTTGTTCAATCGCGAGTCTCTTCTATGTCAATATGTGTGTATATGCCATGAATAATTCGCTGATAGACCCACTGATCAGCATTCAGTAGACTTAGGGCGAATTTGTTCTCTCTCTCTCTCTCTTTTTGTGTGTGTGAGGGAATTTGATATCTGAAAAAGAACAGCCGAGCAAATGGAAAAATATATGAATTTTTCGATCTCTTTTCCTCGCAAACAGACTCCAGAAAATGCTCACACTAGTACTTCTCGAAACTCTAACCCTTATTTTGATTCGACCAGAAAAGGGGAAGTTTCAGATGTGAAAATGCAGCTCCGGAAACTGGCAGGGAGCAGAGCTCCTGGAACAGATGATGCAAAGAGGGAGCTTTTCAAGAAGGTGATCTCGTACATGACAATTGGGATTGATGTGTCATCAGTTTTTACCGAAATGGTGATGTGCTCGGCGACCACGGATATAGTGCTAAAAAAGATTTGTTACTTATATGTTGGGAATTATGCAAAGTACAATCCAGATCTCGCTCTCTTGACAATTAATTTCCTTCAAAGGGATTGCAAGGATGAAGATCCAATGATTCGTGGTTTGGCTTTGAGGAGTTTGTGTTCGCTTCGCGTCGCAAATTTGGTGGAGTACTTGGTGGGGCCATTGGGTAATGGGTTGAAGGATGGAAATAGTTATGTGCGGATGGTTGCAGCTGTAGGGGTTCTCAAGTTATATCATATTTCGGCTTTGACTTGCATAGATACTGATTTTCCTGCTACGCTCAAGCATTTAATGCTTAACGACAAGGATGCTCAGGTAAGCTACTTACATGTGATTTTATATGCTTATAAATATGTCTTCTTATGAATGTTGCTTCTAATGTTTAAATTATTGGCCATCATATGTTGCAATATTATAATTTTAAGGAATCTTATCATATAAACTTCACCAGAGTACATAAATCTATTATATTGCTAATTATCAAATATCCTCGTTTTGTTTCATCAGGTAGTTGCAAACTGTTTAACTTCTCTACAAGAGATCTGGGGTCTGGAAGCAAGTACATCTGAGGAAGCGGCAAGGGAGAGAGAAGCCTTGATTAGCAAGCCAGTTATATTCTACTTTCTAAATAGGTATGTTACTGGATCATTGTCCATTGCATCAATTTCTTTTTGACAATTGGAAGTCAATATGTAT